GTGTTTGTTCTCGTCTGTTCTTCTGCCATGAGGATACAGCATTCACCCCCCTTTTTGCCCTTCTGTCCCTCCCACCATGTCAGGACACAGTGTTTAAGTTACCTCCTTGGAAGCAGAGAGCAGGCCCTTTCCAGCCACCAAACCTGCTGGCACCTTGATCTTGGACTTCCCAGCCTCCAGAACTGTGAGAAATAAATTTTTTATTGTTTACAAATGACCCAGTCTCAGGTATTCCGTTATAGTGGCATAAACAGATGAAGATATTCTCTAATTATAAAGGTTTTGCCAAGGATAATATTAAAGCCAGAGACATAGAAGATAGGCATAGTTTTGGTGCACTTTGCTTCTGTGTCTTTGTACAAATTGTTACTTCTCCATCACCTGTGGGATATTCTCCTTCCTACCCCACATGCTTCCACCAGTTCCCAGCTACCAATTTCTTCAAGACCTGGCTCAAAGCCTAGTCCTTCCTAGGGGACTTCATTCCTGAGTCCAGACCACTGCAGTTTCCCCTTTATCCAGTGGTCACAAGGCACCCACACAGGCTGACAGTTGCCACCTGATCATCATCACCAGTCATCACACTGTTATTACATACTTGGTATATGAAAGACTCTATGTCATGTGCTGTGGGGGAGGGAGGGAGAGCTTTGCAGAGGAGGTGGGATTCAAGCAGGGTCTTGAAGGCTGTGTTTTCATTAAAGAGGTGGAAAAGAAAGGGAATAAAATAATGCACAACATTGAAGATCAACTTCTACTCTTCTTGTTATTGGCTATATAATTTTGAGAAAAATCCTTTAATCCCTTTGGAAATCCATTTTCTCATATTTAAGGTGGGAATCTATTATTTTAGATTTAGGGAGGGTGCTTATGAGGATCAATGTGAAAGCCCCATGTATTGGTGAGAATGAATTTCTTTGCAAGTAATATTAATAACTTAATTAAGATATAACATGTAGGGAGACTGAGGCAGGAGAATCGCTTGAACCCAGGAGGTGGAGGTTGCAGTGAGCTGAGATTGCACCACTGCTCTCCAGCCTGGGCGACAGAGCGATATATATATATATGTGTATATATATATATATTTAACATGTAACATCTCTTCAGTGGTTAACATATGAAGCTGACAAACCTCCTTTCTCCATGACATCAACTCTCTCATCTGGTGATGTCCACCGTCTTCTCCTGTTGGTTGAAGATGGGAGAAGTCTTGCGTTTATACTTCCTCGTGCAGGGGCCCACAGATGGGTGTTCCGTCATTCCAGTAACTTTACATTGCTTAGTAATTGGCTGGTTTTCCGAAGGAGAAGGGAACTGAATTGTCTCCCCGTCCTCTGCACATGCTTTGTTGTTTGAAGTCTGCACCTTTGTTTGCTGTTGCCCCCACTGCTTGGAATGTGCCATCTTCTCAGCCTCAGCCTGGTCAGCAGTTACTGGGTCAGTAAGAGTCGCTGAGGTCTCACACTACAAAGTTTCACTGACCACATTTTGACCTCCTAGACTGGCTAAGGTTCCCCTTTTCTGTGCTCCCATGCTGTACTGGGCATTGCTGTCTCCAGTGCACAATTATCACACCATACTACAAAGACCTGCCTCTCTCACTGGGCTCCCCATCCCTTCAAGACCGGCACATAGCACTCACACATGACATGGTTGTTGAATCAATCAATGGCCTTTCTCCTTTCTCTCCCAGTCCTACTTTGTTTCACTCTGGGCACCACCATTCCTTCTCTCTCATTCTGCATTGTTTATGGCTTGTTAGTCATTAATACAAAGCCATTTCCAAGTCTGGCCATTAGTAATGTCTGGAGGTGTTAATAGTAACACTAGCTCACATCTACTGAGCACTTACTATTTGGCTGGCACTGTTCTAAGCACTTTGCATGTTTAAACTCCTTTAAACGTTCCTTTGTTGCTGCTTTTTTTCTGCTAGGGACTAACCTTGACATTGTGGGGGAGAGGTGTTCTGGTATAGCCATGGGACTGTAACATGGTTTTATTGTCCTATTATGTGTACGTGTAAGACAGTAAATCCTGCAGTGGAATACAAGTTGACTAAGTCTATCATCACTCAAATATTGGAAGATATGTGGGAAAAAACCACCAACAAAAAGTTTTGATATCCTCATAGTACAATGACATTACAGTTTTATTTTGTTTTTTCTTTATGTGTAGTTTTAAATTACTGTATTATGTTTCAGATAATTAAGCCAGAAGAACAAATTGGGATGGACTGTTGTATTTACATTTCAGTTTACTAGAGGTAGCCTTGAAAGAGTTACAAAAATATGAATATCAGTGTGGAAAAACATAAGGGAGGTTTTCAATTTTTTTTTTTTTTTTCAAAAATGATAAATTGGCAAGGAAGACAGATATGGGAAAATCAGTCATGGGAATTTGCCTTTCAGTGACTCCTTTTTGACTGGGAAGAAAAGCTTTTCTTCGATTTAGTTGAGAGCAGTGACAAGGATTATTTTACTTGAGGATGGCAGAGTATTTTACCAGCAGCTGGCAGACGGGAAGAATTCCCTGGACAACAAGGAGGGGCAGTATGGTATGGAGGGAACCCGGTTGAGAGGGTCTGGGGTTCAGAGCTCCACGATGCTGCTTACCAGCTCTTAGCCTTCATTACATTGCTGACCTTCCTGGAGGTTCAGTTTTCTTATCCATAAAATGGGAGTCAGGTTGCCAAATTTATCAAATAAGAATCTAGGATGTCCAGTTAAAGCTGAATTTCAGATAATTATTTTTTAGTATAAATATGTCCCATGAAATATTTATGCCCCATGCAGTAACTATGTCCGTAATGGTACATGGGACATATACTAAAACATTACTTGTTGCTTATCTGAAATTCAAATTTAACTGTGTGTCCTATATTTTTTCTGGCAACCCTAAATGGGGGCAGGGGCAGTGGTGGTGACATGAGTGATTATCTTGTAGGGGTGGTGTGAGGATAAAATAATACCACAGTTAGGTTTTCTCACAGTGTGTAGTCTGTGTGTAGTCAACACGTGACTATAAGTAGTGACTGTAACATAACTGTAACTGGTGTATAGTCAAAAACAAATGATATTATTAGTATAATAGTTATTAATAAAGGTCTTTAAATGACAACTGGTCATACAGGGAGCCTTTGGGGAAAAGTTTCTGACTCTAAACTAAGGGAAGGTAAATTATGATAAGATCTGGGAATGAGATTTAGACTTACACAGTAATAATTTGAGGAAGAGAAAGACTTAGTAAATTAGTTAATGTAATTACATAATTAACAACTTGGGAGGTTTTCTTTCAACGTTTATTCCCTAGGGCATCATCTTTAAATTATATTTAGTTTTTGCTAAGTTGACCAGTTTGTGGTTTTAGATGTTTACTTTCTTTTCTTTTTAAATGTAGGGAAAGCATATTTAACTGCATCTTAAAGAAATTATGCAGCCATATAAAACCAGAGGGTAGGATCTACTGGCAAGGAAAAAAGGGCCTTTACTGCCACCTGGTGGCCATATTCTTTAACTGCAATGTGCCTAAGTGCGGCTGGAAAGGAAAGCGTTGGAAAATCTGCTAAATCCAGAGAGCGCCAAGGCAGTGTCATGACAGTAAGGGCCGTGAACTACTGTGTCCTTTCCCTCAGTTCCCAATCTCTCACAGCTTGAGGCGTGAGAATTAGCAGCTGCCTTTGAGAGGTGGAGGACAGAAAATGGTGAAGTCCATGCCTTCCTCCTTGGTACCGAGTTTCCAAACCTTAAGTGAAGGAGCCTGGGAGGGGAGAAGCTTCAGGTTGAGTAGACTGTTTTTTTTACTTTTTTGTTTGTTTTGAAAAGCCTCTTATTTAATGGCTCAGAGTGGCTAGAAAATCCGTGGTATTGGTTAGCTTTCGTCTCAAATGCAGGGAGGGACAAGGCAAATCCAGAGAGAGGAGTTGAAAGGACAAAGAAAAAAGAAAAAGAAATGCTTTTTGCTTGCATTTTGCTGCATGCAGCTCACTCAATAAACATGTTTTAAATGCATAAATATATCATGAGGTAAAAATCGGGGGGAAAGGCAGTGCATTGATGCTGATAGAGGACAGGCAAACTGCATTCCATTTGGACTGCGGTCTCTCACTCCCGCCACCACACACAAACTAAGGTCAAAATCAGGGAGGGAGTCTGGGGTAAAGTTATCAGTAGTCAGTTCTAGGAGCCATAATTTTAAAAAGTCTTAAAAAGCCCATAAGTCCATTATAGCAGGGACATAAAGCAGTCCTGGCCTCCGGACCCTGACCCAGCCATGGCAAGCAGGACTGCTTCCTTTTATTCTCCCTTGTGTCCTCATGGGTATTTCCAAGCCCTGCAGGGAAGGATGGAAGCTGGTTCCATCAGTGCCTCTCCCCCAGCTTCTACCCTCCTCTCTCTTCTGTGACCTCTCAGTTTTCCTTCTCTGTACCCCAAATCATGCCTGTCTTAGTCCATCGTCTGTTGCTGTAACAGAATACTACAGACTGGATCATTTATCAAGACAAGAAATGTGTTGTTTACAGTTCTGGAGGCTGGGAAGTCCAAGCACATGGTGCTGACATTTGATGAAGGCCCTCTTGCTGCGTCCTCACACGGCTCAGGTCACTCTAACTCTTCTTATAAAGCTACCAGTCCCACCGTGGGGGCCACACACTCATGACCTTATTTAATCCTAATTACCTCCCAAAGGCCCTACCTCCAAATGTCATCAATATGTGAATTTGGGAATTAAGTTTCCAGCACATGAAATTTGGGGGACACATTCAAACCATAGCAATGCTTAGCCTTAGAATACCACCTGGCATCTGCCCAGGCTTTCACAGCCACTACCTCTGGACATGTTAGGATCTCTATTTACACATAAGGCTTGCCATGGCCATTACACATCTGTGAGTCAGTGTAGGGTCCTGGTGGAAGCCCGGGTCTTGGAGTCCCTCCATTATGCTTGCTACCCTGGCTCTCCACCTTCAATTTTTGGCTTCTTATTTTGAACTATGTTGTTAATTTTTTTTTTTTTTTTTTTTAGTATGAAAGTTTTCAAGACGCCTACAAGTGGAAAATGCACTCCTCCCAGCCAAATCAAGCTTTGCCAGATTCCTTACAGCTGTGTGCAGTGAAATGACTAATGAAAGAGCCCTCCGCTGCTGGTGGAACTTTCACATATGGCACTGCTGTGCCACTCAGCAGGACCTGACCCTGGTATTTACATATTGGATGTCACCCCAAAAGCCCCTGACATGGGGGTTTCCGGGATGTAATAAGAATGCCACTCTGGGCTTTGGAAGGTGCACCATATGCACACCCATACTATAGGGCAGGGATTAGCATTTCAGACCCCCGTTCCTCCCTCAACAAGCAAGTGCTTTTCCCCAGGGAGGACGTTCAGATTCATTCATAGATCCATTGGTGCCATGGGCAGCTCAGTAACAGTAGCTCTGCTGCCTACCAGCTGCTGGTGGAGGTGTTGAGAATACCTAGATGAGGAAGTCAGCTGCTGGTGGAGGTGTTGAGAATACCTAGATGAGGAAGTCAGCTGCTGGTGGAGGTGTTGAGAATACCTAGATGAGGAAGTCAGGGCCCCTGCGTGCTTGAGCAGAGCTGGATGCCTGGCATGGCAATGGACACAAACCCTTGGATAATTTCCATCCTTGGCGGTGTGTTCTGTAGCATAGGTGTGAAGCGGGTGCTCTGCGAGCTTGGAAGAGGGGCTCTTAACTTATGGGTGGCCAGGGAAGGCTTCCTGGAGCTCAGATGACTGAGTGGAGTCTTCAACATTAAAAAATAAAAAGTGCTCCCCCCCACCCCCAGTTAGAAAGGTAATACACCTAATTGAAATAATTTAAACTTTACAGAAATGTGTTCCTTTAAAGTTCAGAGAGTAAAGAGGAAGTAATAAAGCTCAAATCATAGAATGTCTAATTAACTGCAGCCTGTAACTTTCTTCCTGAAAAGGGAGTGGTGTGTGTGCATGTGTGAGTGTGTGTAGGTGAATCTGTAAAGGATGGAGTAGTACTAAAAAGAGGGAGGTGAAGACGGAGGTGAGATCTCATCTTTGTGCCCTGAACCTCTTTGTTATAATGTCAGGCAAGGAGAGAAATCAATACTCATCCTCTATGGGACTCTGGCTTTTTCAAACTTGGTTTGCCAGGTTTTGGTCTTGGTTGTTAATGGCTTGTAACTTCAGAGTCTCATTGCTGGCCATGCTTCCAAGTGGTTTATTAAGAAGTTTTCCTAAACAAAATTGATCTCTCCCTAAAAAAGTTATAGGTCTAGCTGTGAGATGCTAACAATATTTAGCCTGCTACAATGCCAATAGGAGTTCCCATTTACTGAAGACTTTCTTTGTACCAGCTGTGTGCTAAGAGCGTTATATTTGTTACCTCATAACATCAACCCTCACACCAACCTTACAAAGCAGGTATTTCATTATTCCTACATCCCAGATAAGGAAGCTAGGATTATTACTGCTGCACCCACATAGCTGATAATCAGTGGGGCTTGGCCCCAAACCCAGGTCTCTGACTCCTAGGTCCATACGAATGTACCATTCCTGTGCAGTATTTCTCAAACATATTTGGCTACAGGAACATTTTCAAAAGTGAACACCACTTACTTCTTAGTACTGTTATTAGCATTTCATGGAACACAATTTGGGAAATACTGCCCCAGGAAAATACTGCCCTGTCTTTAAAATAGTGATAATAATACAATCTCCATATTGCGATGATTAAAAGACGTTTCAGGAAATGGGTGCTGAGGATACTTGCTTTCCACCAGGAATGTGTGTGTGCTTTAAAAATAACATTCGTGGCCGGGCACAGTGGCTCACACCTGTAATCCCAGCACTTTGTGAGGCCGAGGCAGGTGGATCGCCTGAGTCCAGAAGTTTGAGATCAGCCTGGGCAACATGGTGAAACCCTGTCTCTACTAAAAATACAAAAATTACTCGGGTATGGTGGTGCATGTCTGTGGTCCCAGCAATTCGGGAGGCTGAGGTGGGAGGATCGCTGGAGTCTGGGAGGTGGAGGTTGCAGTGAGCCGAGATGACATCCCTGTACTCCGGCCTGGGCAACAGAGTGAGACCTTGTCTCTCTCTCAAATAATCATAATCATAATAGTATAACATTTGTGATGTTCTCAGTGAAAGGAAGCAGTGTTTTGGCCAGGATGATAATGAAGATATTGTTACTGGGCTGGAAGACCCTTGGGCCCTGTCGGGGAGGGCCTTGTAAGCTGCCACTGCCTCCCTTCCACAGGTGCCCCTTTGGTCCCCTTCCCTCCCCTCTGCCCTCTGGTTCTCTCCATCATCCCGCTGTAGTGCTCATCTTTGTTCAGGATGATGCTGTTTGCCTGCCTCTGGGCAGGGGCCTTGCTCTAAACCACGCTGCTGCCTACTCAGGCCAGCCCAGGATGTCTGCTCTGCTTTGCAAATTTGGACTGTTCTGAGTCCCAGCTGTAGGCCAGGGGTCTGTGACATATTGGGCAGACCACCCACAACCCAGCTGCTGCCATTGCTCAGCCTACGTATTCCCAGAGAGCACATCATCACCCACAACATCTCACCGACAGACCCTGCCTTTAGAGACAAGGACCAACCTAGGTGAGCCTGGTTGGCTCTACCTCCCTGGACATTGATTTGGACAGCTCACCGACTCCCAAAGGAGCCAGTCTTTGGGCCTGGTTGGCTCCCAACCTACTCCCTGCCCCATTGGTTTGCTACAGGGGCCCGGCAGTCCCAAATCATGACATTCCTTTTCTTCCATGCACCGGTTTTGCCCAGCTGTCCTTTTTTCTTTCATAATTTCATCAGTCCCACAGATATGCACATTTGGGCAAAAATACTAGGAACAAAACAGACAAACAAAAATAGGCCCTCAACCCAGCTCCTGAAGACCAGTTAGAAAGAGCATTTGCATTCTTCTCAGTAAATATCAAGCACACTAAAAAAGAAAACAAATTATTTCACTTACGTTCTCACTTGCACCTGTGAGGGAGCCATTGTTACTGTCATTTCATGCATGGAAAGGCGGGGGGTCACAGAGGTCAGCTGATTTGCCTAACGTTGCAGAGCTGAGAGCACCAAAGTCAGGACCAGAATAATTATCCAGTGTTTGTCCCTCTGCCAAGTGCTGCCCCTTGGACTTGGGGCCCTCAGGCCATCAAGACTGGGGCCCTTTGCTCCTGGAGTGTCCCAAATTGATAGCGTAAGGCTGGTTCCGATCGAGTCTGACATGCTGCTAGGAACCCTCCGTTTTCTTCCCTTTATTCTCTTCCATCGTCCTTTTCCTAAGACTTATCCCACTGTCCATTCTTCAGAGGCTTCAAGGTGCTCTTTGACTTTTCTCTGTAGCTAGGCCATGGGGCTTTTAGGTGTCACCCACCGTCCCACCCACTCACTTGCCTCTTGACAGTGCACCAGCTGAAGCACAACTATGTGTTAGGGAGATATGTAAGGAGAAATGTGAGATGTGGTCTTGCTCCTAATAAAGCGTTAAAGAAAAATTATCCTGATATCTGTAAAAAACAGCAATGAAGACTATTCAAGACTGTTGCAATAAGGGTCAAGATTATTGCAATAGGTGAGAGGATTGAAACCCAAGTATATCAGGGATAAGGGAGGATTTACAGCCAATGAACAGGGTAGGGGAGTGGATGGAAAATTACCTAGAGGAACTTGATTAGGTGGAGGAAGAGGAGCTTGACTGGATGTTGAGGGTGAGAGAATCTCAGTAAATGGACTTAACAAGATTCATTGCTAAAACTGGGCTCAGCAAGTCAAGGGCAAGGCCTAGTTGAGAAGAGGGCTTAAGGGAACCTGACTAAAGTTTGGTCAAGGAGGGAGTCTTTGTCAGCACTCACAAAGTCATGTGAGAGTCAGGACCCAAACGCAGGACCCAAGGTGCTACGAGGCAGTGATGTGCCAGCCATGGCATGACTGGAGCTTGGAGAGGAGCCAGTGGATCTATCTGGCTTATTCCATTCCCTGGCTTCAGGGCTGACTGGCAGACAGTCACACTGGCTTCATCTCAGGTTCATTCATTTCTCACTGCTCTGTGATATACCATACTCTTCTTCCACTTCATACTTTGAAGCTTGAATTTCCAGGATTTGATAAAAAAGACTGAAAACCATAAGCAGACTGAAAAGTGCCAAGGCTTTATCTAGACCTTGGACAAGAACTTCAACCTCATGTATCTTGTTTGCAATATGGGGACAATACTTGTTACAGATTGAATCGCATCCCCCAAGAATTCATTTATTGACTTAACCTGCAGTGTGACTGTATTTGGAAACAGGGCCTCTAAGAAGGTTAACAGTTAAATGAGATCATAGAAGGTGGGGCCCTAATCTGATAGAACTGGTGTCCGTGTAAGAAGAGGAAGAGATACCAGAGATCTTTTCCTCTGTGCACACACAGAGGAAAGGCCACGCAAAGACGTAGTGAGAAGGTGGCCATCTGCAAGTTGGGAAGGGAGGTTTTACCAGCAACAACATTTTCTGGCATGTTGACCTTAGACTTCTTGCCTCCAGAACTGTGAGAAAATAAAAGTGTCTGTGGTTTAAGCCGTCCAGTCTGTGGTATTTGTGATGGCAGCCTGAGCACACTAGTACAATACCTATCCTGTGGGTTTATGATGAGAACTAAACATAAGGTAAGTTGAGGACCTAACTGCAATTCACACATGTTGGCTTGTCTCCCTTTCCTCCTGTCATGTGATTTGTGGGGTGTTAAGGGTCTTTTGCCAGCAGACACCTTCCTTGTGACCGACCATATGATGGTGTGAAAAATTCACACGGTAGAAGCATTCTTTTGGATTCAGCTTTGCTTCTCTGTGTTGCAAGGAACAGAACCTTCACAGATTAGTATAAACTAAAAGGGGGAATTTTCTGAAAGCATGTTATTATCAGTTAGGATTCCTGGTTTCAAGCCGTGTACATGAATTGGCTGGTTTAGGCCAAAAAGAAACTATTGAAAGGATATAGACTGGGGTACAGGATTGGAGGGAAGGATGGAGGATCAGATGTGGAGCCTGCCAGCAAAAGGGCCAAACATCACACGTTAGAATGGGGCGTGGGGACTGCAAGGCTGTGCTGCTGGGCGCCGGCTGCTGCTGCTCGCTCCTCTGACCCCGTGAACACCGGCCTGCTCTGACATTGCTGGACTAGACTCTTCTGTGACCAAGTCCTCCACACCGATGTGCCCTGTGGTCTCTGTGGTTCTGGAGCGCTGCTGTCTCCTTGGCTGAGCTTAGATCATGAACACTGGCATTTTCAGCACAGAGTGGGAGGCAACTCTGCCTCCTTTCAAGATTCATAAGGCGGGGAACTTCCCCAAACAATTAAAAGCAGGCTCAAAATGCCAGATGGTCAAAAAGAATAACAAATTCTCCCACAGATACAGGGAAACCTTTCAGAGCCCCCACATAGGAAGTACAGCTTCACTCATAGGAGTGAGAACAAAGAATTGGAAAGCCGATGGCTGGTCACTCTGCATCTGTCTGCCCCTGTCTCTCTGTCTCTGTGTCTCTGTCTTTCTCTCTGTCCTGTGTTTTCCAGCTCCACTTGCTAAAGGTAAGGCCCACCTCTGTCCTGACCGTAAGAAGTTAGTTGTCTCCCTTAGAACATCTTTTTCCTCATCTTCTGCAAATGCTTCTCAATTCTCCTTGGAGATCCCCTCCTCTGTCCGTTTTTGGTCTGGGTGGGCTCCATTCTCAGCCCTTGGGATGGGCCACAGGGCCCCGTACGAAGCCAATCAGCACACTGTATGCCCTTGGCTGCAGGAGTGAGCATGTAACCTAAAACAGCCTGGATTTTTTTCCCCCTCTTTTTTATTGAACTCTAACTTACCTGTTGCAAAGTCCACAAAGTGTACACCTCAATGAATTTTGCATAAAATCCATTGTATACACCTGTGGAATCATTACTGAGACTGAGATACTGGTCATTTCCATCAGTCCAGCAACTAACTCCCCTTGTAGTCCTTCTCTGTAATACTCCACTCGAAGATAATCATTATTCCAACTTCAGTTCCCGTTAATGGAAATTTTACCCATTTTTGAATTCTATGTGAATGGAATAATATGTAATCTTTGGTGGCTGACTGTTGGTCTTTCTCTTATTGACTTGCAGCAATTCTTTATTTTGGATACAAGTCCTTTGCTAAATATATATTGCAAATATGTTTTCTTAGCCCATGGTTGCATTTTGACTCTCTTGAGGATGTCTTTTTAGGAATATTAGTTCAAATTGTTAGTCTTGTCTACGGTTAATGCTTTTAATTTGTTCTATTTAGAAATAGAAAGTCTTTTAATGCTTTTTATTTGATCTATTTAGAAAATCTTTGCACACTCTGAGATCATGCGCAAGTTAATAACTTTGAGGGACGGAGAAGTAAAATGTTTTTGTTGCATTTGAGATTGTGAGGCAGTGAGGTTGAGCCAGAAATGGAGACAGAAAGCAGAAAAACTTGCAGGGCTGGCCTTCAGATGGGGCACTGTCACCAGGGGAGTCTGAGCTTTGCAGGAACTGTCTGTTTGCTGTAGTTATGGCTGAAATCAGAGGCAGGTCAAGTGGATGAGACGTGGGGCAGTTGACCTCAGAAGAGATTCCTTTAACTAGTTCCTTTTTTTTTTTTTTTTTTGAGACAGAGTCTCGCTCTATTGCCAGGCTGGAGTGCAATGGTACCATCTTGGCTCACTGCAACCTCCACCTCCTGGGTTCAAGCAATTCTCCTGCCTTAGCCTCCCGAGTAACTGGGATTACAGGCGCCCGCCACCACGCCTGGTTAATTTTTTACAACTTTAATAGAGACAGGGTTTCACCATGTTGGCCAGGCTGGTCTTGAACTCCTGACCTAGTGGTTTGCCCGCCTCGGCTTCCCAAAGTGCTGGGATTACAGGCGTGAGCCACGATGCCCGGCCAACTATTTCCTTTTTAAAAAATTTTTATTT